CCGCCACCACCGCCGCCTCCGCTACCGTCGCTGCCGCCGCCACCGCCTCCGCCGCCGCTACTGCCACCACCACCACCGCCCCCGCCACCACTCCCACCGCCACCCCCACTCCCTCTGCCGCCTCCACCACCACCTCCACCACCCCCGCCAGCTCCACCCGCGCCCTTGCCCCCCTTGCCCTTGCCAGGGCGGCGTCTCCCGCTAGGGGCAGACGCCGCCCCGACCGACTCAAGACCAAGCAGGTCGGCAGCAGCAGAAGAGGCAACAGAGGGCAGCAGGGGGGAAGGAGAACATCCCTCAGAGATGGGGGTGCGAGGGTCACCACGAGAGGCTCCTACAGCAACAATGCTCTTCTCCGCCACAAGGAGGGCCTTCTCGAGGAGGTCGACTGTGAGAGTGGTGGGACAGACTGAGAGGCAGTGGTCCCTGACTACGCGAAGGGAGTCAGGGAGGCGTGTGACTATGTAATAGAGAGTGATGTACATGGGGGGTGGGTTCTTGGCGCAGAACTCAGCAGGAAGGGCGGCGCGGTAGCGAGTGTCACTAGTGCGGAGGTGCATAATGAGGTCAGCGACAGTGGGAAAGGCAGCAAGGTCCGGAAAGAGGTACGGTAGCATGAGGCGGCTCAGTGCAGCAGTGGCAGGGGAAGAGTAGCGTGCAACTACAGAATCGTACAAGGTCTGAGCACTCTTGTACTGACTAAAGTGCGCACGCTCAGTGGTAGGCAGGTGGCGACGCACAGCGAGACGTGCAGCGGCATCGCGGGTGGCCCACTGAGAGCGAACAGTGGGGTCAGCATCAGCAGCAGGGGCAGGAGAGGCGCCAGAGGTGAGGTCAAAGAGAGAAAGACCGTCCGCCCTATCGCACTGTAAAAACAGCTGCAGGTCGTCGACCCAGACCTCAAGTCAATGGCCCGACCCTCAGCGTCAAAAGCGAGGACACTAGGGGTAGCCATGACGACAGACTACCAGTGCAAGCAGTAGGGGAAGGGCACGCAGTGACAGTGGGGCTGTGCTCACCGGACAGGACAGGTCGGGCGGCTCGGCAGTAGGGCGGCTCGGCTGCGGGGCGGCTCGGCGGCTCGGCGGCAGGCGGCTGGGCGGCTCGGCGGCACTGCGGCTTGGCGGCTCGGCGGCTCGGCGACTCGGCGACTCAGCTGCTGGGCGGCTCGGCTGCACGGCGGCTTGGTTGGTGGGCGGCCGGGCGGCTTGGCGGCAGAGCGGCTCGGCTCCTCCGATACTGGGCGGCGAGGCGGTCGGCTTCTTGGGCGCGCGCGGCAGGAGGGGAGAGCGGCGGGGCCGCTGCAGACGTAGGGCGGCGGGGCCGCAGCAGGAATGGGGCGGCGGGGCCGTGAAGGTAGGCGGCGGGGCCGGTAAGGTAGGGCGGCGGGGCCGCGAAGGTAGGCGACGGGGCCGGTAAGGTAGGCGGCGGGGCCGCGAAGGTAGGCGGCGGGGCCGGTAAGGTAGGGCGGCGGAGCCGCGAAGGTAGGTGGCGGGGCCGCGAAGGTAGGTGGCGGGGCCGCGAAGGTAGGTGGCGGGGCCACGACCGTAGGCGGCGGGGCCGCGAAGTGGGGCGGTGGGGCCGCGAAGGTAGGTGGCGGGGCCGCGAAGGTAGGTGGCGGCGGGGCCGCGAGGGTAGGCGGCGGGGCCGCGAAGGTAGGCGGCGGGGCCGCGAAGGTAGGCGGCGGGGCCGCGACCGTAGGCGGCGGGGCCGCGAAGTAGGGCGGCGGGGCCGCAAAGGTAGGTGGCGGGGCCGCGAAGGTAGGCGGCGGCGGGGCCGCGAAGAAAGGCGGCGGGGCCGCGAAGTGGGGCGGCGGGGCCGCGAAGGTAGGCGGCGGGGCCGCGAAGGTAGGTGGCGGGGCCGCGAAGTAGGGCGGCAGGGCCGCGAAGGGCGGCTCGACGCAACCGTAAGGACGGCGCGACGGGCTGCTAGGGGCGACACGGCGGGTCGCTAAAAAAAAAGGAGCGCGACTCGAGGCGCGCTTCGGTGGGCCCTAGGAACAGTCCCTAGGAGGGGACCTGCTCTGATTCCATGTGAGAATGAGAACAAGAATGATGCACTAAGGAATGGAAGTGGTACAAATATGCAACCCTAGGAATGTGTACCCCATATGGGCTACCCCACTACAGCCTACACAACAATATAATTTGACACCGTCTCATCTCAGTTGAGAAAACGGATCCAATCCAACAAAACACAACTGTTGGCTCAATCGAGCGCTCTGTGATTTGGCCTCGGTGGCATGGGGAGAACATGTTCCGTGGTAACCTACTAGTCGTGCTGACTCTTCAAGCGATTGTAGTACACAGCATTCACGAGAACAAGAAGCGATCCACATCAGCACCAAGAAAGGTAAGGACGCTAGAGAGATTGAGGCAGAAAAGAAAGGAGTGGGTGGAAGTAATTAAGGGGATACGGGGCGGGATGACTCATGAGGGGAGATGGCAAGGTGATGTGGTGGGACGGTGTGGTACCATTGCAACAAGCTCAAGGACGTACAGAGATGTGACCTACTTGAGGTTACTGATAGAGTTCGGAAGTTGCCCTCTTAGGCTGTTGTACTGGAGACTCCTGTGGTCACCATGTGGGAAATAGTTTGGTTTCAACGGCAGCCCTCAAGCGAATTCTGGTTGTCAACACTCGTCAAAGCCATGATCTTGAGCAATGAGTGACACCCTCATCGTCGCCACCCAACTCACTATGAGGTAATCATGCCGGTGGCGTCGCATGTGAGGCCGGTGGCAGTGCTGCATTCGGGACTCGAGCCAGTCCACCCAGTGAGAGTCCGACCCCATGCCGTCTGGCACTCCTAGAGGTTTTGCACTGTAGTTGGCATTGAAGGCAAAAAAAAGCTCGCGAGCTAGTCGCACTCAACTACTAACTATTCCCGTATGATACAGGATAGCCCCACCTCGCACGAGCTTTCACCTTGCGTGGATTCCAGAGGGACGGCGTTAGCGACGGGCATGGAAAGGACGGCGAGGCACCATGCCAGAACCAGAGCTGTGCGCGCCAAGCGCTGCGGCATGAGCTTGCTGTTGCCACGGGCATTCGGCACGCCGTCCGAATTGAAGCGCTTCTCTCTCATGATCGTTCTTAGTAGGCGTCTAAGTTTTGATGCGGAGGCTCGAAATCTTAGCTCGGAATGCTGGTCCAGGAAATGCTCGAATGCTCAAATGAAGTTCATGCGTGCTACGACACAGGTAAAGCTTGGGAGCAACCCCAGAGCAGGCTTTCCGTGCCTGAGCTGACTTTTGAGTCGACTCAAAGTCAACCCCATAAGCAGCTTTCCGTGCTTGGGAGGAAAAGTGGCACCGTGACTGTTCCGGCACTATTTCTCCTTCCGAAGTCGGGAGCTCGAAGCCAATCGATGCCTTCGGCGTCGTCACCTCCAGGATGCCCAGCCACGCAATTAAAACCTTTCTGAGGGCCGACGCGTCAGGCCCCAGCTGCCCGTGAAACGTGTCACTGTCCCCGCCAAACTGGTTCAAGCATCTGGTCCCTTATGTGCCCCTAGCATTACCAACCATCCCGCCGCATATGCATGGCTTGGACGGGCGGCATCGTCCGGCGGTGACGGCGGCGATGGACAAGCGTTGGGATCCCTGCCTCGAAGTACCCTCGCTAGTGTTTCGAGGGAACTGCATAAGCTTCAAATGCACATGCCATGCGGCAGCACTGCGCCCGACCATCTTAACTCGAGATGTCGGCAGGTGTTGTAGAGCCGTTTGGTTTGGGATGTTCATACGGCGCGGCTCGGGAAAAACCCCGCCCACGCCTGGGGATGTAAGGGGCGCGGAGATATCACGGGAAGCGTGGGGCGAAGTCGGCCACCCAGGATCACACCAGGTTTGGACCTAGCGCGGCCGTGCGTGGCTCAGTAAAACCCACCAGGCTCCCACCGAAAGCTCCGCACCCCCCAAATAACCGAAAGAGCCCATCTCGTTCTTACGCGCCGATGCATGCACGACTCGGTAGAAAACGAACGCAATTGGTCGGTAACATTGACAAGCGGGACATTCCGCGCATGCAACTGCGCGTACGCGAAACCAAAGGAGTGCTACTACTGGTTGTGCTATCTCGCAACTTATCGCAAACAAATTTTGCACAAGGATAGGTTCGGTAAGCGCACAACGAGATTCGGTTCGGATATAGCTGGCGCGATCTGGTAGGCTCCATGCTGGCTGACACGTGCAGCAATTTGAACGAGCCACACAGCTATCGTTGTTTGGTCGATGCGCGATCGCGGTAACGTGTCAGACACGTCCACGCAGTGTCCGGTCATTACTCCTAGCATGCCCACATTTTCGCATTACCATCGCCAGTTGCACACCAATCTCTTCCCTCTCATGACCCACTGGATTCACCTGACTTAGACGCACAATGGGACACCAGTATTGCGGTTACGTTGTGTGCCGCGCTCGAATGTCCACGAGCACAACGGTCGCGATGTAGATGGGTCTAAGTCACACCCGGGTGTACATGTAGTTACCGCGCATCATGTTGACGCACGCGGTGAATAGGAGTAGGGGCAATCTCGCACGCTACATGCATGCTGTGAATCGCGTCGCGGCGCCAATACTTCACGACTCCATCAATGCTCTGGGCAACACAACCGCGCAGCAAATCTATAATGCTGAACCGCCTACCGCTCCCGTGCATGGGGTGAACGCGCTCAACCCCACATGGAGCACCCCATACGTGCAGCCCGTGGTTTTTGGGTCGCGGATGCCCGCGTTCCACCCACAGCAACTGGTCAACGGGCTCCAACTAGCACCGCGGCCACAAATACTGTTTGCGGCAGCGACGATCGCGATTCAAAATCAACAAGATGATGTTACCGCGTAAGGAGTATCCACGCCTCATTACGGACCACATGTTGTTGGACAACACATCGCGTCCCCGTCCGTGCCCACTAGCCAGCTCTTCGGAATGCCTGTGCGTGGCTTTGTAGGGCCGCAGTACGCGAACGTGGGATTCAGGTACGGGTACATCAGCGTTCAACCAGACCCCATGGTGCACGCACCCGCATCTGTCGCGATGCCTCCTGCCGCGCCGTCAACACCACTCCCCAGCGCGATCCATCCGGAAAGCCAGCCAACGGTGCAAGCCCCGCCAGACCCAAGCGAAGCATTGGTTGTCGGTTTTGACACACGGGCACGAACAGACGGCCCATCATCGAACGCGCTTACCGGTGGTTTAAGGCGTGCGTTGAATGGTGGAGCGGAGATGAATGCAAGCACGCGTGCACATTCGCCGCCAATATGGAACGTGAACTCACTGTTGCCCGGAAACCCTGACGTCCACATCCGCACCCCCGCGCATCCGACTGTAGCGGACGCGACTGGTGTAGGTGGGCAACCACAGGCGAATGCAGAGAACGCGGGCCGTGGAGCGGGTGCAAGAGGAAACGCGGGAAGGGGAAGAGGGACTGGTGCGAGAGGGAACGCGGGAAGAGGGACTGGTGCGAGAGGGAATGCGGGAAGAGGGACAAGGGAGAGAGGGAACGCGGCTAGAGGGAGAGGTGCGAGAGGAAGGGGTGGGAGAGCGAGCGCGGGACGTGGCACAGGTGTGGGATCGAACGGGGATAGTGCGAACGGGCAGGGAGCGCATGGGGTGATAGGTAACGGCGGCAGGGGTAATGGTGTTAACGTGAACGGCAGTACCAGTAACGGGCCACTTAATAGACCGCGTATAAGGAGGCGGCGAGTCGATGTCGTGCCGCACACGGCACGCAACGGCTTTTGGGAGGGGAGCGAGGGGGCAAGCGATGAGGATGACGAGGACGATGTGAAGAAACAAGGAATGAAAAAGAGAGGGGGGTTGCACTAGCAACAGTTGGCATACATATAGGAAAACCTAATTGGGTTGTACTCGCTATAGAGTACCCCACTGCAGGCTAGACAATCATAACATCCTGACACACCCCCATAGCCAAAGTGGGGTGTAATCAGCACAATGAGCAAGCAGGCATAGAGCAGGAGTTCACAATAGCGAGCAAAGCTAGAGTTCATCACAGCGGGCAAGTGAGGAGGAGGAGGAACTGTGGAGGGAGAGAAGATGGGAGGCAACGACTGAAGCTGCAAGGGCGACGGGCTACTGGAGTAACTGGCTCTGCGGCTATAGACAAGCGGCAGGAGCAACGGACCCACTGGCGACTGGTGTAACAGGCTCACTGGCTACCGAAGCAAGGGCGACGAACTACATGCGTTGCAGGCGACACGACAGCTACCTTCACACAACCTCCCCCAGCTGCCCCACACCCCTCGACACACACCCCCTGCTCAAACCCTAGTTCCACTCCCACAGCACCCCCCTTTCACACACCTCTTGCTGCACCCTGGTTCACTCACACCCCACCCCCTAGCACCACTCCGTCGACTCCCACACACCCACCCCCCTCAGCGGCAGCTGCAGCAGTGGGAGACAGAGGAGGAGGAGGAGCAGGGGAGACCACACACCCGCCACCCCCAAACCCTAACACAGGGCAGGGCGGGATGGCGGGTAGGGTGGTTACGGGGGGGGGGGGCGGTGCACGGGTCCCCGGTGCGCCGCGACAGGCGACGTACCGGGGATGGCCGGGGCGGGGCTGGGGCAGGGTCGAGGCAGGGCCGAAAGGGGCGACGACGGGGCCACAAGTGGCGGCGGCGGAGCCGCTCGAGGCGGCGACGGGGCCGATAGGGGCGGCAACGGGGCCGCTAGGGGCGGCGACGGGGCCGTTGGTGGCGGCGACGGGGCCGATAGGGGCAGCGACGGGGCCGCGAAGGGGCTGCGAGGGGCCTGGAAGGGCGGCGACGGGCCGCTAGGGGCGGCGACGGGGCCGCGAAGGGGCTGCGAGGGGCCTAGAAGGGCGGCAACGAGGCCACTAGGGGCGGCGATGGGGCCGCGAAGGGGCCGCGAGGGGCCTGGAAGGGCGGCAACGGGGCCGCTAGGGGCGGCGACGGGGTTGCTAAGGGTCGCGCGAGGGGCCGTGAGAGGGGCCTCTAAGAGGGGAAGAAAAAAAAAGTCCGTCGCACGCCACGGGGCGTGCAACACACAGAGTAGCAGCGGAAGCAGTTAGGTGGGCCCACAGGCCAGGAGCGTAGATGCTCTGATAGCAAATGAAGAAACGAGGAATGAAGAAGAGAGGGGGGTTGCACTAGCAGCAGTTGGTATACATATAGGAAACCCTGATTGGGTTGTACTCGCTATAGAGTACCCCACTGCAGGCTAGACAATTATAACATTCTGACAGACGACGCTGACAATGCGGACGATAGTTGGAATGACGATGACGAAAACTACCTATCGAACTCGCTGTCCGCGCTCAACGAGGAGGAGGCGGAAGTCACCGAACGGGTGCGGGGTACGCGGAGGGACATTGAGGTCCCTATCGCGTATTGGAACAGGCTTGGTGTGGACGACACGCCGGCCGCGAAACAAGAGATATGCTACGGAATCCTATATGGTGTCTTTGAGGCCACGCTAAAGAAGTATCGCGGTTGGGCCAACGAGTACAAGCGGTTCATGGCTCACGAGGTGCCTAAACTGGACGCGGGTAGGTTTGGTGAGGAGGCCGCGTTGAGAAACGCGAACCCCGACGAGATAGGGGCCGCGCTCGAACAGAACATGGGTGGTGACTGGAAGATGGCAGAGGGCGATGAGCAGTGGTTCCACGGCCCTGAGATGAATCCATGGCTCTTACGCAAATACGTGACCTTCCTCGCGAACGAGACTGTTGCACAAGCGGACAGGATGGCCACACTCAAGCGGCCAGAAAAGACATTGAAGAAGAGACGCCAGTGCACCCTGGCAATGCTGATGGGGCGTCTCAAGGCTTTGAACCTGCTCATCAAGCTGGACGGGGCCATCTTTAGGAAGCCCGTTTTGAACCTGTTGCGCGACTTTGCAGAGTGTCGCATCTTGGTCCGCGTTCAAGTACGCGACCAGTACAAGCGGTTTATCGCGTAAGTATACGTAATCAGTGAACGCGTTTAATGCCCAACAATACCACGTCCACTAACACCCGCACTATCATCCAAATCGATGGGGAAGGAACACATGGATCACCATCGGGGCACAGCCGCGGACACGTACACCCCGGACGAGTTCAAGCATATGATGCGGAAGACCAGCATGGACGCGATCTTGACCAGCTTCACACTAGCCAAGAAAGCATACACGCAGGCAATGCATCGCGACCTCTGCATCCGAACGATGACGGTGCTTGGTCATTACACTCTAGCCCGCGGGTGCACGATCAGAAACCTGCAGCTTCCAGACATGATGATGTGGAAGCTCGGTGCAAAATCCGAGACCGATCCAGTGAGTAACGCATTCATGTTTGTCTGCGCGTGCAGGACGGGCAAGACAAACAAGGATTTTTCGCTCAACTACATATCTGTTGTGAGGCACATAGATTGGACGCTGTGCGCGGTCAGAGCCACGCTGCTGTGGCTGCACTGGGTGTACGACCTGGTTCTCATCCTCTACGAGGACATAGCCCCCCCTCTCGACTTCACGGAACCCTCGACGTGGTACGATCAATACCTATTCTTCCCCCTTTGCGCGGGCAACAAGAAGAAAATACCGCCCACGACTCATCACGATTGGGCCGCGAAGATTCTCCAGGACGCGGGAATCACATGCTCGCGTGCGGTACACGTGACCAGGGCTAGGGGGGCGCAGCACGCGTCCGCAGACGGAATGCCTTCGGATCAGCTGGCAAGGCTGGGTGGTTGGCGCTTCATCTACGTGATGACTAAGCACTACTTCACAACCATTCTGAGGGAGGCCGTTCAGCTGAAGGCAGGCTTCACCGGGGTTGACGGAGACTACTTCCTTGGTCGCGCAACTGTGCCGGTGAGCCCAGAGCTGGAGAAGCTACTGAGGAAGCACATTTTTCCCTGGGCCACCAAGAACGAAGGACAGAAACAGGTATGAGTGGGTCGCGCACAATAGTTCCACGCGACCGCGGGCATCCCACACAATCCTCTTGCACAGCGTTCACAACCGCGTTGTTTTCTTGTCACTGTGCAAGGATTACAACCGCAAGATGGTCAAAAAGCAGAAGCCGGAGAAGCAAGACACCGCGGGGCTAAACATACTAAAGAAGCTGGATGGGGACACTAGGATGGCGGTCGCGCAAGACCTGGCGATGTATTACATCCACCAGCCGCGACACCCGTACGTGGTCAACAACCCGCTCTGCCAGACGGAGGAATTTGCGTCGTGGGCTGCAGATGTCTCCTTGGCAAATCAACTCGCCATAGTACAGCGCAACACACCTACATTGACCCAGCCCGTGGTAAGTACTGCATGGTCGCGTTATCTTTCCGGCTGTGATGTCAATGCAAAACCATAACAAGTTCGCGGTCGCTTTCTGTCCATGCAGGAGGTGAGTACCAGAATGGACGCGCAGAACCAAGTGACCGTCCTCACTGACTACCTGACTCGTTCACAAGCGGACAACACCAGACTAGGCCTAGAGTTGGTCGCGACTCATTAACGGGTGAAAGACCTGGAGGGGCTGCTGGAGGATCGCGATCGGAAGCTGGCCGCGAAGGACGAGCGCGTGAATGATTTGGAGGCCCAGCTGTCGCGTCTCATCGTGAGCAGCTCTGGGCCGACCGCGGATCCGAGTCTGGCAGACACTCCTTGTGCCGCGACCGAGCCTGCAAAGGCCACAACTTCCACCGACCAGGGAACGAGGAAGAAACCCGCATAGCCCACGAGGGACGAGACGATTCGGGACGCGATCGTCCTCCCATGGGTCAACGCGGCAAAACCGTCGGACAGATGGAAGCTTTACAAGTCCACGCACCCGCTGATTGGCGAGAGTCTGGAGTCGCTTATCGCCCAGCCCCGCGGTGCAGTTACGCGGTTGGCCGAGCTTATTGGGAAGGCTGGAGGCGGCCCAAACGCGATAAACCGTGTCAAGCGAGTCATGGACTTCATCGCCCACAGGGTGGAGCAAGGGGACAACCTCGCGGTCGTGCTCGACAAGCTCGACCTTGTGTCTGTAGCCATGGGCATGTCGGGTGTATCGGAAGGGGTCGCGGTGAAGAAAAAGAGTGTTGACTTGACCCTAAGCGAGCTGGAGAAGGGCTCCCCGGCTGAGGTGCAGTTGCGTGTGAAATGGATGCTTGTACGCGACCACTTCATCGATGCCTCCCTTCCCGCGTCAGAGTTTCCGGTCGCGTGGCCACAGTATTGCACCCAGATGCTACGCCTAGATTATTGGGGGGTAAGATCAGATGTCGATCGCATTTGGGACATGTTTAGTAGACCACGATTGTGTTTGTGTTTCATGAGAATATACCGTGTGTCGCAATGGAGGCTTCCGAATGTTCCGATTGCGTTACAGAGCAGACGTAAATTGCTTATTGTAACGCGTTTGAATAATGTGTGTAGTATTGTTGGCTCAACCGATAGCATGTATCGTTCAAGTATTGGTGGCTCAACCATGCATTTGACCTTGTTCGCGAAATCTCAGTTCAAAAAGTGCCGAGGATTACGTGAAACGCCGGTCGCGATCGAGCAAGAGAGTTGCATGACAAAGGAGCACACAGCATAGACAAAATGACCACCGCGAGAAAATCTCAAGCAAGGTGGGCAAGCTACCTATACTATCACAAACAACACAAACAAGTGTCCCTAGAACCCACAGTTCACAACCACTACCACCCCATTTACGCGGACCTCTTCTTCGCGGACAGACGCTTGTCTGGCAGTGCAAGATAGAGACCGTTGGTCTCCATCGCCTTGGCCGTGATCTTGCAGTCGCACCAGGTCATCAGCACATCTACTGCCTAGTGCGCGACCATACCGACCAATGTGGGGTCCCCAAGTCGCGCACCAAGGCGGTTCACCACAGCGGTCTCTATCTTCTCTGCGATCTTTTTCGGTGTGCCCTTGGGTGCTTGCTTGCGAGCACATTCCTTCTTGGCCCACTTGAATACCGCGGTCACAATCGATACGTGACCACGGGCCTTCTCTTCTGGAGTGCTGGCACACTGCGCCGCGCCGTATCCAGCATCCATGACCCCCTCGAGATCGAGACCGTTGCAGGTCTCCCATACCATGGCTATGGCGCACGCGACCGCGCCAGCAAACAGGCCCACTTGGTCTCCGGTGACATCACGCTCCTCGTCTGCAGCCTCCTTTCCCACCGCAGCTGCCCACGCGACCGTGTTACCGAGGGTGGAACCGGGACGGGTGAAGTCGTGGTAGGCCTTGAACATGTGGTGGTACTTGCAAGCAAGGGGAAAACACGGGACATGTTTAGTCGTGAACGTGAACGCGATCTTGTGAACCCGTGTTCACAAATGAGTGAACACACGACCGTACCTGTCAACATTGCCCCAAAGGTTGCGGAGGTGCATGGTGGCGAATAGCCCGGTGCACATCATCCCGGTCGCGGAGATGTCCTCGGCCCACTCACTCCTCTGCTGCGCTGTCAGCTTGAGGCGGGGGTCAATCTTCTTGTCGTAACACATGACCGCAATCGCAGTCAGATACTGCACCTCCTCGAGTGAGTGATGTCCCAGCCAGCGACGCCTCCCCCCCAGCCACGGTTCGCCCACCATCCCCTCTCCAACCCTGGGCGGAGGGTGGATACCACAGCCCTTGCGCTTGCCACTAGTGCCGCTGGTGTCGCTTGGCCCCATGAACCTCTGCCACACCAGCTCAACAACATCATTCTCGTCCGAGTCATCGTCGTCCTCGTGTTCCGCCTTCAACGCGGCCGGAGGCGGCTTACAACCACTGCGGCCCTGATTCTTCTCCTTCAGATCTACAGAGGGGGGGATTGCAGGGGCGATGGAGCTGGGTCCAGGCTGTCCATCAGCGACCACGGAGGTGTTACCACCCGCGGGCACTATCGCGGTCGTGTTGGCGGTGGTGGTGGGGGTGGTGTTTGGCGTGGCGTCCTTGACCTTGTCCTTACCTTTAGCAGCTTCAACTGCCGAGGGGGCAGGCGGTGGTCCGGCACCCGCATCCACCCTGGTGGTTCCCGCTAGACGCACGACGACCGCGCCCCCTATCTTAAGGAGATCTGTGACGCTAGTCGCCACGGGACCTTTCTGCCGCTTCCCTTCCCTCCTGCTCTCACCCTTCCTTGTGTCCTTGTCCGCGACCCTCTTACCTGTGTCCTTGTCCACGGCCTTCTTCCCTGTCTCCCTCTTCACTGTTTCTTTCTCTGCGACCCTCTTCCCTGCCTCTTTCTCCGCGACCTCGTGTGACTCCTTCCCCTACGGCCCATCAGTGACTAGTCGCGGTGCGTCACGCCCGGAAAGCATCGCGATGATGATGTTGAGAGAGTTGGTGACGCCGCTTGTGGTGATCGCTTTCTCGGCGGTTCCCGCGATGTTGGATGACGCGCCGTCGATCTTACGGGCGACCTCATCCGTCAGCTTCTTCTGGGCGTTCTCCATGGAGTCCACAACCACCCCCTTCATGCTAGCTGCACAATCTTTCAAGCGGACAGCAGCGCGTTTCAACACCTCCCGCATGTCGCAATTCTCCGCCCTGTCCTTCGCGGCAAGCTTGGCTTCCCTGCGCATCACCCGTTCCGTGTTCTGCACGTGAAGCAGCGCCTTCTCTTGTCAGAACATTATAGCTTATACATTTGTGTAGGCTGTAGTGGGGTAGCCCACAAGGGGTACAACCCAATTAGGGTTAGTACTTGTACCCAACTGTTTCATAGTTCATTCATCCATTCTCACTTCTCGTCATGGTATCGAGCAGGTTCAAGAGTGGGAATTCTGCCTAGGGCCCACCACGTATTTTTTTTTCCTTCCCTGCCCGGAGCGCGCTTAGCTCCTACCCGAGTATCGCCCCGAGCCACCTTAGTGGCCCCTTTTGGCCGCCCTTACTGCTCCTCGAGCCGCCCGCTACGGCCCCGCTACGGCCCCGTCGGCCCCGTTACGGCCCCGCTTCGGCCCCGCTACGGCCCCGTCGGCCCCGCTTAGGCCTCGCTACGGCCTCGCTACGGCCGTGTTGGCCCCGCATAGGCCCCGTCGGCCCCGCTACGGCCCCGTCGGCCCCGCTTAGGCCCCGCTACGGCCCTGCTACAGCCCCGTCGGCCCCGCTACAGCCCCGCTTAGGCCCCGTTACGGCCCCGTCGGCCCCGCTTAGGCCCCGTTGCGGCCCCGCTTAGGCCCCATCGGCCCCACTTAGGCCCCGCTACGGCCCCGTCAGCCCCGCTACGGCCCAGCTACAGCCGCGTCAGCCCCATCGCGGCCCCGCTTAGGCCCCGTCGGCCCCACTTCGAACCCCGCTGCGGCCCCACTACGGCCCCGCTACGGACCCCCTTCGGCCCCGTCGGCCCCGCTACGGCCCCACGTCGGCCCCGTCGCCCACTTCGGCCCCGTCGGCCCCTCTTAGGCCCCGCTTCGGACCCGTCGCCCACTTCGGCCCCGTTGCCAACGCGGCCCCGCCCACCCTTGCGGCCCGCCGCCACCTGCGACCCCACCTCCCAGCGCCCGCAGCGCCGAGCAGCCGATCCCCTGGCCAGCTGAGCCACCCGACTGCCCGAGCCGCCCAGCAACCGAGCCGCCCGGCAGCCGAGCCGCCCAGGAGCCGAGCCGCCCAACAGCCGAGCCGCCCAGCACCGTGCAGCCGAACCGCCCCGCAGCCGAGCCGCCCAGCAGCCGAGCCGCCCTACAGCCGGGCCGCCCGACACCCGAGCCGCCAAGTAGCCCGATCGCTCCACCTACCTGGTAAGAGCACAGTCTCTGCCACTACACTGCCCTCCCTACTGCTGTTATGGCTTCCCCTAGCGTTCTCACCTTTGACGCTGAGGGTCGGGCAGTGGACTTTGAGGTGTGGGTAGATGATCTGCAGCTTTTTCTGCAGTGCGATAGGGCAGACGACCTCTCCCTATTTGACCTCACTTCTTGTGCCTCCCCTGCCCCTGCTGCTGATGCTGACCCCACTGTTCGCTCACAGTGGGCCACACGTGACGCTGCTGCTCGCCTTTCTGTGCGCCGCCACTTACCGACCACTGAGCGTGCACACTTTAGCCAGTACAAGAGTGCTCAGACCTTGTACGACGCTGTAGTTGCATGCTACTCTTCCCCTTCCACTGCTGCACTGAGCCGCCTCATGCTACCGTACCTCTTCCCTGACCTTTCTGCCTTTCCCACTATCGCTAACCTTATTACGCACCTCCGCACTAGTGATACTCGCTACCGCGTTGCGCTTCCTACTAAGTTTTGCGCCAAGAACCCCCCCCCCCTGTACATCACCCTCTACTACATAGACACCCGGCTCCCTGACTCTCTTCCGATAGTCAGGGACCACTTCCTCTCTGTTTGCCTACCACTCTCACTGTTGACCTCCTCGAGAAGGCCCTCCTAGCGATAGAGAAGAGCATAGTCGCTATAGGAGCCTCTCGTGGTGACCCTCGCACCCCCGTCTTTGAGGGGTGTTCTCTCTCCCCCCTCTTGCCCTCTGTTGCCTCTGCTGCTGCGGCCGACCTCGTTGGTTTTGAGTCGGTCGGTGTGAGAGGACGTCCCCGTTATAATATTTTCTTGCTATTATATTTTTCCGTTATCCTATTCTCCCTTTTCTCCTCTTTATTTTGGTCTTTATCTCATCTCAATCGGCCTACTATTCTATTTTCTAGAGCCTTCTATTTATTTCTCTTATTTCCTACTTTTCCCACCGACATACCTATTATACGGCACCGACAGCGCCGTCAGTGGTGTATACGGTGTAATCTGGGCGTAATCCCAAGTGCCAATAGACTTGCGTGCTTATGCGCACTTGTGATTGTAGTATCGGGAAGGGTGTGTTCCCGAAGGTTCGTTTTATCTCGTTTATCCTTGTACTTTCTGAGTATAAATAGGCCTTGTATTCAGTTTTAGTGACAAGTTTCGATTGAGAATTCGATCCTGTGACACTTGGTCATCAGAGCCGTTCTCACTCGACAACTCTCGGCTAAGCAGCGGTCGCGGAAAAAATCGCCTCGAAAAACCGCCGGGGGCGACCAATTCGACGCTGATTTCTGGTAAGTACCAGTTCCGCGCTTTTCGAATTAACCCCCTCGCGTGGTTTTTGAACAGGATGGGTTCGCCGGCGACCAACGACGTTACGCAGCAGCTCTTCACGCAAATCGCCAAGATGGAAGCGGATATGCGAGCGACGACTGAACGGTCGCGATTGGAGAACGAGCAGATGCGAAACGAACTGCAGCGCGTTACGCGGCTCCTCTCGACCATGAACATTCCTGCTTCGACGACTTCGCAGCAGTCGCAGCGTCAGTTCGAGGTTCCGAAACTTCGCTCGCCGGAATCGTTCGACCCTAGCGATCGAAAATCCGACGTCAGGCGGTGGCTCGCGACGATGGAAATTTATTTCGCGGCGATCGGATGGACGACGACGGAGTACGACGACGAGAAAATTCGTCTCGCGACAACGTTGATGCGCGGTCCAGCTCTCGAGTGGCTCGGAAGCAATAGTAGCATTTTCCAGGGCGAAGCCACGTGGCAGCAGTTCCGGGCAGACCTTCTCAAACGTTTTGAGCCGATTAATTCCACTTATATTGCGCGCGAAAAATTACATCACCATAGGCAATACGGGAGTGTCGCGCAATACACGCAGCAGATGGAGGAATTTTATAATCGCATTCCCGACATTACCGAGGGCGAAAAAATTCAGTCCTACATCGCGGGGCTGAAAACTGACATTCGGCGCCAGGTTGCAGCAGCGAATTGCAGCAGCTACAGCGAAATCGTATCGGCCGCGGAGCGTTTTGACTTGGTCAACTCCGGGACACGACGACCCCACGTCGTCGGATCACGACAAGGGGATCGCTCGGCTTCAACCACGTTCGCCGACCCCATGGAAGTCGACAAATTCGACGCGAGTTCACGTCCTGCAAAAAACAAAACACTTTGCGAATTTTGCGGCGGAAACGGACATCGCATTGTCGACTGTTTTCACATGAAATCTGCACGTGCGGCATTCCGAGCTCGTGGGAGTGGCGAAACTAAAAACAAAAAGTCAAAAAACGGATCTCGCCAGTGATTGCGGATCGTGCTGGCGAGAAAAAACAGATCCGAAAGCGTCAGCGCAATCTGGACCGAATCGAAATTGAAGGACAGCATTGGGCGCGAGATTTGGAGAATCAAGGGCGAAATCCCAAGCCCCTTGACCGAAATTCGTCAGAGGAATTCGCCGAGGAAAAGAAAACCTCCGCGAAAACGGACTCGACCAAGACGGGAACTCTCCAATTCGACCCCGGAAAAAAACAGAATTCGTTAAAGTTATCTTTCAAAGATGCTTTAATGAAGACTGGCAATTTTCGCGGGTCCGGAGCCATAAACAAATTCCGGGAAGAACTCCAGAGGAAGCAAACAATTAAAGAAGTGGTACCGGTGCCTACGGAGCTGGGGAAAAAATTAAGGAGTGTGGAAAGGAGTAGACCTTTTCACGGCGTCAACGTCCTCTCCCGGAACCAGCCAAGACGACTCTCCACTCCCCAGGGAAGAAGTCTATGGAGCTGAAGCAGCTGAAGAGGCAGCTGGGAGTTTAAAAGAAGCTGCAGAAACTCCGAAAACCCCTCAAGGATGCATCCAGTGGATCGCAGGCTTCGACCGGATCCACCCCCTCAGGGTCAACTTGTACGGTTACTACCTCTACTCCTGGCGTTGGAGAAGAGCCTTTCTCCACGCAACCCAGACCAGCTAGTTGTCCAGAAGAAAGCAGTGGAACCACGGTGTGTACTGAATATTGGGATGTACCCTATGATCCTATCAATGAGACTATTTTTGGGTACTCCGAGCAACGCTCACCACTCCTGCTCGAGGTGATCTGCAACGGACAGCGCCTCCAAGCACTCGTGGACAGCGGGGCGTCGCATAGCGTCTATGACAAAAAGGCAATCGATCGACTCGGAAGTGACATCAAGTCCTCAAGCTTCTCTGCAACGATGGTGGATGGCAGTAAGCTACCTATCTACGGGGAAACACGGTTGCTACTCCAGATTGGACCCCTTCGATGGAAGCCTGCTCTCCCCGTCACAAATATCAAAGGACTCGACATAATCTTCGGGAGAGACTTTCTTAAAAAGTTCAACCCCGAGATCAACTGGGTTAACCAGACGGCCAACATCAACAACAACGGGAGGAAAATCAGCCTTCCCAAATGGGACGACACGGGAAATATTCCAGTCGAGACACTCGCATGCTTTGAAAAGGACGTCAAACGGACCACGGCGGGATTCATGGCGATAGTCAACGAGGCAGACAACGGAGAGAAGCAGACCCAGGAACTTCCTCCAGCAGTCAAGAAAATTCTTGAAGAGTTCCAGGACGTTCTCCCCGACGATTTACCTGATCAACTACCGCCATACCGGACACATCAACACGAGATCGTAGAAGAGCCGGGGTCCAAGCCAACATTTCGAGCACCATACCGGCAGAGCCCGACAGAGCTTGCCGATATGAAAAAACAAATAGAGTATCTCCTGGAGAAAGGGCTGATTCGACCTTCGACTTCGCCGTACGGAGCTCCAGTTCTCTTCACTCCGAAGCCAGACGGAAGTCTGCGAATGTGC